TAATACAATCGCAAATTTTCTATCTGTAATTTTTATTGCGACCGTTAGTTAGTTAGTGAACATTTGAATACTTGAATGTATTTCATTATTCAATGTGTGTTTTGTGTTTTCAAGACAAATCAAATACGCGATATGAGCGATTTTATACAAACATGGAGGTACCTCCATGATACAAAGTAGTGTCGGTATAGGCGGGGTTGTTTCGCGTAAACAAATCTTTTTTTCAATACAAGTGTTCTATTGAAATGTCGATTTATTAACTATAAGCCGCGTTGATCTCTCAGGATTAAGATATAACAAGCCACACTATCAATATAGTACAACTAGTGCAGCTTTATTACGTCCAAACTATAAATAAATAAAAGTGGAACATTTACATGCTGGACTCGGTTCCAGTTTCTCCCCGCTGCGCTACTGTGGCCCAACATGTGGGCGTGTATTATAACAATTGCCACTGAGGGCAGTATAACAATCAAGAATTATACAAATGCCAGTGAGGGCAGTATTACAAACAAAGTCGGCAACTGAGGTCCTACTGCAGGTTACACCAGTCTCAAAAAAAGTGTTAGTCACTCTTTACAAATTATGCGTAAATTGGGAAGTCCCCAATTATTTTAATTCTGGATACTGTCACTACACAACTAAAATGTCTTCTCAAACTGATTGGAAATCCACCAAAACTTGTTTGCTCAACTGTGTTATGGAATAGAAATTAGAATAAATGAATGAGTAGAATACACTTACCTATCTCCAGTGTATCTCTACGGTTCCTACAGTAACGCAGCTTGCAGCCCCAAAAAATGATAAATTCTTAAAAAAAGTCAAAACAATCTTCCCAGTGAAATTACTGGAAAGTCTGACAATATAATCGTACAATTAAAAAAAAAAACTAACGCGTTGCTTGAAAACGGGAGTGGTTTACAGTTGATGTTAGCAAAGGGCTGTATGATAAAGATACAACCCCCCAAATACGCCCTCTATATATTTTTCTACCCCACATTCCTATGCAAAATCGAATATGAAGTTAACACATTTCTTCGCTATATAAATGAGGAACATATATCGAGTCTGTTAATGGTAAGAACATGGCAATTTTATGTGGTTACCCTTCCCAATCACTCTAGTTGACCACCAATGTTTTGTTCGGAACCTGATACGTCGGCCCATTTGCGGGTCTTAAAGTGAAAAATTAATAATGAAATTTGATTTCAATATACCACGTTCTGGAGTTGTCCAACCTGGAATCCAGCCATTCCGAGAATACCCGGGAATTCTGACATTTTTCAAAATCTTATGATCAGAGACGACTAAGATTCAGACCTTTTAAGTTTGCTATTGCTAGTTTATGTACCACAGCCGATGGATTATTTCAAAATTTAATTTGAATTACAATTTTAAAATATGAATAAAATAATATTTTCCGAAGACGTTTTCATTATTGAGATATTTTCTATTTTGTGTTTTGTACATTGAATGACCACAATGTATCACGGATTCACTTCAGTGTATGACAGGAGTCTCTTACTTCCCAATAATTCGTAACATATAAAAAAAATATATATCAAAATAAAAAATAAAAAAAGCCTGTTGTGAAACAAAGGAATGTGCCACGGATACTCAGTCAGCCAATGCATCTTTACGAAATTGCCCGGTTATGGTACAATATGTAAATTATTTTATAAAACCAAGACCACAATGTTGTATCATAAATTATAATATAGTTTGTACTAAAAACCACGAATTCATCAAAAATCTAATCTAATCTCAAAACAAAATAAAACAACGTCGACAGCACATGTAATATAAATTATGTTTTACAATTGTCATTGTCAAATAAGCTGGCCATTTGAACTACTAGTATTTCAGTGTGGTCACACACTGATTACATTACTAGTAAGTGAACTTTCTATCAGTGAACTTTGCCCCTGCCTTAGCCTTAAAAATTAGTTACCGTTCGATGTTGATGATTTTTGCTATACTTACCTTTACGACCATTGCGCACATAAAAAACATACAACGCCTTTTTAAATAAAAAAATGGCATCACATCGACATACAGGTAAATACATCCCTAAATCTTTAGTATAAATTTGTTATTATATTCCTGTGGGATAAAACACAAACAAAATGTAATGTATAATGTGTTTGGGATTTTGTTAATATATAATTTTTACAAAAGACTTTTTTAAACAAACGTTTGTCTGTGAAGATTGGTTTTGCTCACCGAGTTGTTAATAGTCACCCCATAATATAATAATACTGTGTGTGTGTGTTGAGTAAGCGGGTAAGCTAAATTAAATAATAGATGAATTGCCAAAAGGGGTACTGGCTCCTATATATATGTTCAAATGATATAACTCAGCAGTAACAAAAGAATGTAACGTAACCCTGACCAGTAAAGATTGGACGGAATTCACAGCGTCAATTTATAACTTCGCTTATTATTATACCATACCTGCACCAAGTAATTCTTTCCATGACCCCTGGAGACCTTTTCAAGGACTTATTGTGAAACCTTTCTGTCAACGCCCAACAACTTATATAAATAGTGAAGAACATGAGATAGGTGTGTACTTACAGATAAGACGAGCAATGCAGAGGTGCTGTCCAGCGTTTTAGTTCGAACACTGGTAGGAAACGTTAAGGTAAGATTATGACACTATCAACATGACCATTATAACATATTTATAATCACCATTCCGAGTATGACAAATCCAAATTTGTGCTTTGGATGTTCGGTTTGGTGATTCTCGCCGTTCAGTACGAGGGTTGGGGAGTGTGTAATGCCAGTCAGTGTGTGGAGGCTGGGTTTATAGATAGGTTATGCAATAAACGCATCGTACGGTACGGGAAACGAATTCACTATATGACATGTATGAGTCGTGTAGTTGCTGGGCCTAGGTTTTAAAACCCATTGTGTATATTCGGTGGTATTCAGGCGATTGATTTTGCATTGATGGTGACCACCTTTGACAGCGAGCTAAGTCTAAAGCGTGCTGTCATTATGACAAACGTATTGTGCTTTCTGAAGCGCATACTTACACCAGGGGCCCTGAAAGCGAACTTCAGTCGAGGCTCAAAGTGAACGACACATAAGGAAAAAAACATTCAAGAAAATTAGACACACAGTATGTGATAAAGAACGTGCCAAAAGAGGGCGAGGTGTTTTAGAGAAAAGTTATAAAATACATGTATTAAGATTGTGTTTAATGTTTTAGGTAGGTATATAATTTAAAATGTTGCAGAATGTGTGCGACTTAACATGACAAAGTTCTACCTGATGAATCTTGACAATACATTTTTAGTCTTGGCAAGGGGCCGGACAAATCATAAATATTTTCAACTTAATAATCATGCACCTTAGAAACGCTTAGTTATTTATTTTCGCGAAAACAACATCACACGAGCGTATTGCTGGCTGGACAAGTGAAATAAGGAGCGGCTCTGACACATAGAAAGTCGTCTATTGTTAAAACTCACTTGTTGAATACGACTGTCCAAATAGTATGCAGTCTTTATAATACACAAGGGTCGGGTCATTCTGTTAATGGGATGAGAGGATATATAAGAAGAGGATCGACGTATCTGGAGGTAAAATGTACATCAACCTGTCTTTGAACGAAAGGGCGGTATTTTGTTCACTGCGTATGCACCGAACCCACTAGTGAAAACCCGTTTAATGAGTCATAGAGGGAACCACACATCAATAGAATGTGTTTCATTATTATTGAAAGGCGTTTCAACACGAATATTCGTCACCTCATGAGAGATGCTTTAGAACATTTTTGTTTATTTACTTAAATCAGTATAATGTCCCACAAAATCAACGTGATAAGTCATGCGTTTTCATTGTGGAGCGGATTCCGATCGCGGGCAAGGAATCGACTTGTCGCCTTGACCGAGCAGCTCATTGTGTTGTTGTCTGATAAATACAAAAACAACACCATATTCCAAGGATTATTTTCTGGAAAATTTGTATTTTAGAATGCAATCCTCAAAACTCTGAAGTTGTTGTTATTCCCGACCTTGTCTTGCTGATTGCACTCAAAGAACTGAGATAACTGTTTTGATTCACTGGCCAACACGCAGTGAAAGGGCGTAGCCGTATGTAGTGACGATTTGCATTTTCTTTAACTGTTCATTTTTTAACAATAGATTTGTGAGCTGAATTGATTGACAGGAAACCAGCCCTAATCCACCTAAAACTGACACAAGTCTAAGTCGATTTGTCACACGCCTAACTACATATATAGCGAATAGAACAACAAACTACAGACAAGATAGAGATAATGGGTGCGACATTCTAATACGTAATAGCACGGTTCAACGCGATGTTCTTTAGCCCAACACTCAAACGATGACTGAAAACTCTCACTGTAAAGGCACACGCGATATTGCAAGTGAACATCATCACTATGTTTAAATATTGACCGAAACTTGTTTATAGCGCTTGTTTTGAATTACGTCATGTTTATTTATGAAAACGTTGAATACAGACAAAAAAAATGAGTAAACGAAATCCAAAACAGTGACAGAAATTTATCTTTGTTCAGGTAATATACTATATTCTAGATTCACAGCAAATTACCGAAAATCAAAGCGAAGTAAGGAGGTTGGGATCGAAACTATTTTTATCGTCCGCACACGTCGTCAGTTTTATTTTTAGTAAGATCTCGCAGTAATATTCTCAACAATTCAGAATATTTGACAGAACACCCCAATGATCATCCGATTAGATTCACCATACAATGACATCACAGACAATAATAACGAAATACAGTTTCCATATTTAAAGGGTTTTCCCAAATTGAAATACTGTAAAATACTAAATTCCTGATAATTTTGGCTCAACCAGTTAGATGTTAGTTAGTTATCGCGTAAGTGGAAATAACATAAAAGTCATATAGGAAAATTTAGTCCCAAAACACACAAAAAATACTGACAATGATTGAAAAAACAATCCACAAGAACAAGAAAGTAATGTATACTCATTTATAGCCACATTTTAGCTCATGGTAGTGTTAGCTTGAAGTAGAACACATTTTAGATCCAACCAGTATATGTTAATATTTGCAATGTTACACAGAACCCGACTCCACCACAAATGTTGATAACTGAGCTGATTGACAAATGTTAAAGAGGTTTTCTTCAGACAATGTTTGGTAGAACAAATCATTCAGTCGAACCGTCTTAATTTTTCTGAAAATAAAATCAATTGTGTTATTATATTGCAGTGCATCAACACAATACATTTATCCAGTTTACTCAGTCTTTTCATGCTTGCCCAAACAAATTATAGAGATACAGCAGGGCTGAACTGGGTGTGGAACTAAACGCGTACCAGCAGGCCGAAATTGTTTATTGTGTTGATCAATACCATTATATTGAAGAAGGATGGGCACAGTTTGTTCCATTCGAAACACAATACACAGAGAAAAGAACATCTTCCCTTTTTTGTTCAGTTATCTTTTTTACAATATTACTGACATTGTGAAACTACACAAACTGATTATGTCTAATATGCATGTCTTTCTACTCGCAGGTAGTTCACAACTCCATGACGATCAGCTGAGACGAATACAATATTCAACATAATGAAAACAATGAGTAGTGGATGCGTGGCCATTGCAGCAGTCTTTCTCTCTATGGTGGTATATGTAGCCAAAGCACAGGTTACACCACAAGAAGATGACTCAGTTCCTTTGAGCGTTCTTATCACCATATGTGTAGTGGTGTTTTTTGCCACAGTTCTAGGAGTAGTCTGTTTCATTCAGTTCTGTATCAAGAACTACAACCCGTTGGATTACTGTTTCTTCTTTTGTACAAAAGACAAAGAATCTCCTCCTGCTGTGCAAAAAAATGAACTGGGCACGCTAGACGGTTATGAAAGCCAGACAGACACCAGGAAACTTGTCCGTGAATCACATGTACAGGCTACAGGTCACGGGAGACAGGTCCTCGTGATGCAAACAGAAGATCTTTATGCTCGAATTAACAAACCTGGAAAGAGGAAGGAAATTGTAGAAACAACTGAGATAGATGGGGGAATAGAAAATGCTGCCCACACTGTCAGTACTGACGTTTTCACTAAAGACACCGTTAGTGGTGAAAGTAGGGCAACCGAGAATCTGTACTCTGAAACTACAACTACGACAACCTCAAATCAAAGGGAGAACGTCTTTGTCCACGATAATAATATTATACTTAGAGCGCCACCAGCAAGATATAGATCTGAATCCTTCAAAGAAGACATGGTAGATGGAGAAGTTCGTACTGAGAGATATACTTACAGTACAGGATATACACCATCATCTTCAAGAGAGAAGCTGGTTGTGAATATGTCTGGTGATGACTCAGAAAGGATGCGCTATTATCTTGAACAAGTGGAGGGCCGAAAGGAAGTCTACACGAATGAGAGTGGTGAGACTGTTATAATGGTGAGAGATGAGCCAGAAGTACATGATATTGAAAGTAATTTGAATATACAAAATGAGGAAAATGGTTACATGAATGAAGAAGTTAGGCGTGTGGTTACGAGAAAAGTGGTTACAGAAGAATACCAACGAGACCAACCACAACAGCTTAGGCAAGAGACTCACGTAATTCGATCGGCACCAGCTGTGACCAAAGTGGGAAACATTCAGCAAGATGATGATATGTCTTCAGGAAACCATGTGGAGAATATGGAAGTCAGTCGTAATTACATTGTAAGAGAAGCCGTAGATGATGGCGATGATGCCCAGTTACAGGCTGCTATTCAGGAGATTGAGACAGTGACCTCAGAAGCACCAGGGCAGGTATCCGAAAGACGTGAAGTGCGAGTACTACAAACAACTACAACAACTACTACTAGCAGAAATGAAGAGCAAGCGTCATCGCCTACATCAATACTGACAGAACACAAAGAGGCACATTACATTCAAAGCCAAGCGGAGCAGAAAGCAGACATTCCCACTGAAGATTACATTATTGTCCAAGATGATGACACCAAAATGGATGAACACATTCAAAGAAGAGGGAAAAGCATGATGGCGATTCGGGAGAATCAAACTAGGATCCAAGGCAATGCAAACAGACATTCATATCATGGCCATCATCAATCAAGTGTTGAAGTTCAAAAATCACAACCAACGGAATTAGTCGTTTCATCCCAGTCAGGTAGTCAGACTACTACAAGACGTGAAGTTGTTGAAAGTTCAATGCCATCGACACAAACATATGTTTATCAAGAACCAGAGTCACAGGAACATCGAACGACTGTAACTGAACAGCGAATTGTACAAGCTGGACCAGAGGTTATGAAGACATATGTATATGAAACACCTGAAAATCAGTCGCAACAATCAATAGTTAGACGTGAGGAAAGAGTTATAACAAGTGCTCCTCACCAGGTTATAACAGCTAGAGCAGACGAAATACCAGACAGCCAAGAAGACAGAACAAGAAGGGAACAACAAACTGTTATTAGACGAGAAGAGAGGATTGTACAAGCTGGCCCAGAAATTGTTAAAACATATGTATATGAAACACCTGAAAATCAGTCGCAACAATCAATAGTTAGACGTGAGGAAAGAGTTATAACAAGTGCTCCTCACCAGATTATAACAGCTAGATCAGACGAAATACCAGAGAGCCAAGAAGACAGAATAAGAAGGGAACAACAAACTGTTATTAGACGAGAAGAGAGAATTGTACAAGCTGGACCAGAGATTGTTAAAACATATGTATATGAAACACCTGAAAATCAGTCGCAACAATCAATAGTTAGACGTGAGGAAAGAGTTATAACAAGTGCTCCTCACCAGATTATAACAGCTAGATCAGACGAAATACCAGAGAGCCAAGAAGACAGAATAAGAAGGGAGCAACAAACTGTTATCAGACGCGAAGAAAGAATCGTACAGAATGATCCTCAAAAAATAGTGACAACAAATGTATATGGAGATACATCAAGTCAGGGTGAGAGTACTGTGGTACGTGAAGAACGCTATATAGAAAGAACTGGACCAACAACGACAAAGCATGTGTATATCAGTGAAGGTGATCATGGCGAAAGTCGAGTGATAACAAGAGAAGAGGAGATTATTGAAGACAATCCCAGCACAGTTGTAACCACAACAGATGCTACAGATGGCGCTGCTCAAGCTGAAGTCACTTATCGTGTTATTAAACGGAGAAGTCAAATAGTGGAACAACCAGAAGAGGAATCCAGAGAAACGTCAAATAAAGAATGGTATGTGTCATCTGCTACACTCTTGGCACCAAAACAATTAGAAACAGTTTATGTTGATCTTGGGCCTGACGAAATGCTCAAGGGTGACAAGGAGACAAAAACTACCACAACCACAACAACTACGTACACCGTGGACACAGGGGAACAGTGAGAACATGTCTATCTCCGTGACACCACAAATATTCCAGCATCAGTATATGTAAACCCTCATGATGACAGAAAACATCATTAACTATGTGTATAGTTAAATTACTTGGAACTGGATACTTAAAATATTAGAAACTGTAAACTCAAAGAAGTGTACAGTTAAATACGTACATGTTTTAATTTGCATATATCCGGATCAAAAGAAATAATACAGTTCTACAAACGGCAATTAGCAACACAAATTCAGATATATATTACAAATAACTATCGGCATATTAGAGTGTCACGAAATTGATGACTTTTGATTCTAATATCTAAACAAAACACAGTCAGTTACCATAGACGTAAGATTCGTAGGTTAGTCT